ACTGGAAGTCACATCAATTTCACTGTAATCTGTATCAAATATGCATTCAACAACTAGAGAGAGATTGTCTTCTCATTAAATAAAGCTATAAAAGGTCTATATCCTTTTCATTTATGTAAGATTTCCCCTATTTTTGTTTTATTCAATAATCCTCACTTATATGAATTTCTTGATCACAAGCAGTTAAAAAAGCTTACAATGGAAGCTTTCACACTTGACTGAATTTTGCATCAATGCAAGTAATTACTTTGATAAATATAATCATTTGGAAGCAAGGCGTGTCCCCAATATTCAATCTGATAACTGAACTAGAAAACATGCCTGCAGCATCCAAACTATAATTGTGCAATAGCTAAGTATAAATGCAACATTTTTCAAATAAATTGGAATAGTAGGAGTTCAAATAACAAGGTTGCATTTAAAACAATTTCATTCAGAACCACTAAAGACAAGAGATGAAAAAGTTAAAATACATTATTGATTATAATTTATATCTTTTTTAAGTACAAAAAAAAGTTTACTGCTTTCAGAAATAATGTTAAAAGGACATTTCTTAAGGACAGATGATACAAACAATTTTTTTCTTTGAAAAAGATTAAATATCATGTCACAAGTTTAGAAAAGTGGATGGTTCTTAGAATTTTTTCTCCTAAGAACTGGAATATGAAAAAGACTTGGAAAATATTACTAATATTTCAATGAAAATACAAATATAGACAAATCACATTCAGTAAAGGTTTACACGTGAAAATAAATTTCAGAATATGTTACCATGGTGCTAAAAGTATAATATAAACTTAAGAAAAATATACCAAGCCAGGTGAATTTTATTAGGAAAAGCTAAATGGTAAAAATCAGCCTATTTGATATTGCAATATTTTTGTCATTTTGATATTCCTCTTAAAATTCACCTGGCTTGGTATATTTTTCTTTTTATATTTTTAAACTTGTGACATGATATTTAATCTTTTTCAAAGAAAAAATTTGTTTGTATCATCTGTCCTTAACAACAGATTTTGGTTAATGGATGGATTGTTTCATATTTTCCCCTCATTCTTTAAAAAGAAATTGTACAGATCGAGTTGCTTGTTAGTCCTAGTAAATAAACTCTGTCAAATAGGAATATCTATCACAAAATTGTGAACATTGGTGACTTTCTTAACTGGGAATTCAGTAGTAGAATGCAGGGTCAAATATTTTATATTTGCTAGGGGGAGGGGTGGTGGTGGATGTTGCTGAGCCTGTCATTAAGGAATATGGAGAGTCTAGCAACTGGGAGAGATAGACTTAGGAAAAAGTCTGATTAAGCCCATCCTCCATTCTCCTGCAGTAGGAGGGGGATTGGACAGTAAGGTGATATATGCAAAATCCCACTGATCCTCAAATTCTGATGCTGGATTTAGACATTAGAAATCACACCAAACAAACAACATAGAATACATATATATATATATCTCCTATATCTGTCATAAAAATACTTCATAGAAACAATATTTACAAATGAAGTAAAAAAGTGTTTTTTGTAATGGTGCTTTTTAAAAACTTTATATGCAGTTTTCTGTTTATAAAAGACATGTCACATCCATTATACATTTCCACATAACAGGCACTGCATAACACATACTACACAAGCATTGAATGCGGTGTAAATGTGTACACAGCTTAAATTGATTCAGTTCTTGACATATCACTAAACTGTAGAGATGGGAATCAATATTTTATAATCAATGATTGATTATTAACACAATAATAATTGAGCATAATTGAAAAATAAAATAAATCTACAATAAACAACTGAAAACAGGTAAATTATAAAGAAGAAACATAACCATTTTCTAAGTATAAAAAGATTTTTTTTGTCTTGGCTCTTTCAACACTAACTTTTATCAACCAACCCCAGCACACAGCTAGAGTACAATGTTGAAAATTCATGTTCTGTCAGAAGAATTAATGCACAATCTTTTTTTATCTCTAGACAGTAAGACTTTCAAAATTTTAATAGTTGACCGTCCATTATAAAGGTCTGAGAAATTTCTTCTCTAAATTTACATACTTTCAAACAAATTCTAGAAGACAAATATGTGCTAATAAAAAATCATATCATTAATATTAATTATAATATAAATTTTTATATTACTAGTCTTCGAAAAATCCCGGGAGTCCAAAGCCCGTGACCTGGTAAAATTGGAAGCAGGCATGTGGAAACTGTACACTAACAAGCCTGAAGGGCATGTAAATTCTGAGCCATATTAACCTCGACTGTATAATCACATTAAATAAGACCTATAACATTAAATGTACTTAAAAGTGTTTGATTTTCCATCTATAGATCTAAAAAGAAGCACAAAATTTTAAGGACAGATTATTCTGCTGTGATTTCCAAGGCAGAGTTCTTGAAATCTTTCGGTCCTGTCCGCAAAACCGATAAAAACAATCATGACAAGTAAGTGTTGACAGAGGAACTTCGACAATCCAATCAAATTTCGTACAAATTCCCTATAACCGACCAATCGTAATCTTTCAAACGCTTTTCTGTATCTTGTAATGGCTTTTTCGATGAACGCAAGTACCAAACTATCATTGGTAAACTAGTTTGTTGACGGTGCTAAGGTAAGCCAGGTGAGAAAATCAAACTACATGAAAAGTAGATTAATAAAAACTTGTGAGGAAAATGGACCCCCACTAGAATTAAAAGAAAGTTGTTATGTGACAATCGAAATCTGCATGAAGTGTGCATTGTTTATTGACGCTTGGTGCACAATGTCTTGATATTAAAATTCAAATACAGTTTTCATCTTTTTATTGAATTTTTTTTGGACTGATAGAAATCTGTCTGGACTGACAAACCTCGCATGGCAGTCATTCCAAATGACTGACAGTGAAAAAAAGATTTCTGCCAAGGAACTCTAATGCAAAGGAGATGAAAAAAGTATACAGGTTGAAAACGATATTAATGGACAATAGATCGATAGAATGGATTTTGGATAATTTCCTTGGCATGCAAAGGCAAGAAAGAGTAAAATAATTTGATCAAGTTCTGGGCATGTAAATATTTGTTTGGACAAGCATAATTGGTGGTTACACCTGCCCGAAGGGCATGTGCTGAAAAAAAGATTCGACGAAGACTTTATTACACTGATCTGATGTACTATTTTGATACAATGCTGTCATCATGGGATTTTAGAAAATTTGGGGAAGGCTGTGACATCATAAATATCCTCTGTCTCAGAGTCCGATTCAGAGCAAGTTCACAACTTTGTTAACAACCAATATTTTGGAAATTTGGTTGTCTAAGAATGTCTATGTTCATTTACCAAACTTAAAGTGATATATGGCGTATTTTTGATAAGTTCTGACTATCTTAAATTAAAAAGATCTTTCTATTAAAAATTTTGTTTTGTTACTTTATATAAAGAGAAGACTTTCCTGTAAATTACACAATTTAAATCAATTGCGTTTCAAAGTTATCACAGAATTTAAAACAATAATAGAATTATTTCCGACTCGGAAATAAATAACAGACTTATTTTTAAGTCAATTTAAGTAATAGAAACGAGGGGATATTTATGTTCAAGATAGGTGAAAATTTTAATTTGAATGTAAATAACAAATATCGCGTAAATCTCCGCTTAATCTCGTATTTTTATTTTTTACCTCAGATACGCCATATATAGCTTTAATATTTTTTGTGGACAGCACTAAAGCTCTTGTCATGACCATTCCTGATTTTTTTCAGACCACCTAGCTAATCATTCATACTGCAAATTTGAACAATAAGAATAACATAGGACATAAGTTGATTAAAAATTAAATCAGTAAAATTGTCTGTTTAAAGAATCCAAAAAGTAAATATTTACTAAGTTTCTAGCACAGACCTTGGCAACTTTGCAGATCTTCTGAGAGTACTTAAAAAAATCAGGCTCTTTGTTTTCACACAATGTGCATAAAATAAACACAGATACACAATCAAATTGCTGCTTATTTCCCACAAAACAATTAACTGGTTTAGTATCAAATAATTCCTTACCAAAGGCTTAGACAATTTCGGTCATCTTCCATCTTCCATTGTGTTCTAAAGTTGGCCGCTTACCTCAACACATCAAACATTAAGAATACTTTTTCACTCAATTATTTTTTGGTTTTATCACAAAAATCCCTATTGATTAAATAATTCAAGTTTAATTTCATGCAATCATTTAAGATGTTATTGAAAACAATAATCAAGTATTTTATTTTCTTGGTGATATAAGGGGTTAGAGAATCGAGCTAATTTGTACATGGACTAACTCGTGTTCTATAAGTTGCTTAGACACTTGACGCTCGCTATTTAAGATGATTATAAACACACTAAAATCTTATTAAATTAGTAAGTTAATTAACTTATATTTTTAATTAAAATGAGGATTTATTTAATTAAATTACATATTATTAATGAATATATATTCACTTAATTAGTCCATTTTCGTTTCCCAGTTCAAAATTTTATCATTATTGAAAATTATGGATTTTTAATAGGTCTAATATTGTTCTCAAAATCATTTTTATGATATACAAATTCACTTTGAAAAATATCAGATTTTTAGATATCCTTTAATTAATGAATAATAGATCTAGTACAAAAGAAAATTAAATTGAAATTCCACAAATACACTGCTGTGTTATTTTAGAGAGAGAGAGAGAGAGTGTGTGGGGGGGGGGGGGGGGTTCACGGTCGGTTGGGTGGGTGGAATACCCCAACTTCTTTAAAGATTTTATTAGGCCTATATAGAAAATGTTCTGAAAATATTAATGAAAAATGGGACTGGAAGAAGTTGGATCCCCCCTTTTGAGGTATCGATTGATGAAATATAAAAGATTTGAGAATTAATTTTTCACCTTTATTGTAGGCCTATAAGCATTCCGCTTAACTTCCTTGCCAATCTTCTTTAAAAGTTCATTATCCATCTAAAGTACGAATTGGTTGATGTTCGAGTTAACCGAAATTACACACCGGAAGTAGAACATTTTTAAGCTGACGATTCAAAAAAACACCAGTGGATTGCTTTAAACTGGTAAAAATGAATCCAGCAATAGCTATAGCGTTCGTCTTCATAGGATGCTGTAGTAACATGATATTCCTTGAGTATTTAATTAGGTAATGATAAGCAAATTACAGCCACTGGTGGCTCTGAGCCATTTTGTTTTGTCCAATGAACTGGTCCAGCACAATCTCTTGATTAAGCACATGCTTAAAAAATAACACATTTGAGAAAAAAGTCTGATAAAATAGCTTAATCAAGCTATTTCGAAGAGCTTTTAAAATGAAGCTATATATAGCTAAATCAAACTATATAGCTTAATCAAGAGATTGTGCGGGACCTGATGAACTTCTTTCAACAGGTTGTGACCAATCGCCCAAATAGGATATAATAGCCCGTTTGGGATATAATATCCCAAATGGGCCATAAATTTACAGTGCAAAAATTGAAATTTTTTATTTTGGCAATATATATCATAATTCCGCATTACAACACTTAAGAAGGAATAAATTTTGGAAAGCAAGTTTTTCTGCAACCCTACTGATTTTAAGATTGATCCCCAAGAAGTTGAACTTCTGAGGGATCAATCTCCTTAACAATGGGCATGTCACAGGGTGAATTATAATTAATTAATTAATATTACTAATTATCATTCATATCATTTTCATATCTTATTATGAGGCATCATTATTTTATAGTAACTAGTAAATTCCGTCGTCACTACGGAATTTACTACGTTCATTCACTGTCTTATTCATTCATTCATTCATTCATTTATACGGGTGAGTGGTCAGTGAGAGTATTCGGGTGTGTGAGTGGTTAAACAGGTTTTTCTATGTCCACTGCGCATTCGCGCCAATACTAACTCCTCGAGCACTCCAACCTTAGACTTTGGGGAGGGAAGACGTTCTCTCTCCCCAACACAACTTTATATCTTACGATATTGTGGCAATAAGTCTAGGATTACGGTAAGAAATAATTGTTAAATTATTTCTTAGTATTCAGTTATTATTCAGTATCTATTTCATCATTTTATTTAACTGAAGTGATTTCTAAATTATCTAAATTCATAAGTTTAAATTATCCGCGTAAAAGTGTGAGTGAGGTGTGGAATATTAAATACATGTTTTATTATATTGCAGATCACCCTTTTTCTGATTACGTATAATATATTAAATAGTATCGAACCCAGCAGCTGTATTTGTGTTATTACTACAACTATAATACCTAGACTAGGCTGTGACAGGCATACAAGAAAACTTGTCAACCAAATGTTATTCCTTTTTAAGTGTACTGATGCGTATTTATAGCCCATTTGGGATATTATGTCCCAAACAGACTATTATATCCCATTTGGGCGATTGGTCCCAACCTGTTCAAAAAGAACAGATCAGGTTTTCTGATGTATCGTACTGTTGTATAAAGGTGTGAGGAAAATAATGTGAATTGAAAGAAAACATCTATTTAATACAGTGCATCAAAAATAATTTTCATTACCCTGAAAAACCAGGTCAAGCACAATCTCTTGATTAAGCTATATAGATTGAAATAGCTATACTTTATTAAGGTATTCAAAATAGCTTGATAAAAAGTGCTTTTTAAATACAGTCTTTTTACAAAAACATTCTTGTAAAAATAAACAAAGAGTCACAACGTGTGGAACTATTACCAATCAATTATCCTGTTGACCAAAACTGACCTTTATAATTTCATTCAAGAAGCACTCATTAATAGCCCCAAAATTTTAGAACTTAATCAAGACATTGTGCCAGAGCTGTTAACTAATAAATGAATATATCAAATTGTGCAACTGTATATCTGAAATCCTTTTCAAAATGAATTGTTTAGTTTCAAAGTAATTTTATCAATAATAATTATCAAAGGGAATCTGTTGTAAAATCCAGTGAAGATTTTGTTTTGAGTGCTTTTGAGTTGCAGAACTTTATGTTTTTTCAGTGCTTTTCCAACTTCTGGGAATCTGATAACATTCTCACAGTTCTTATTCATTTCCTGTGAGGGCCTCATCACTACTTCCAAGTTTTTCACAGTTACCCCCAAGATACCTCTCAGGTTAGTGGCCCTGTTCTTTCCAATCATCAAAGACCAGGTGGTTTAGATGATACCGCGAATGAGAAAATTATGATATTTACTTAAATGAAAAAAAAAGACAGCCATGATACTCTTTTACTTTATAAGGTAATTGTGATTGTTGAGAAGTTGTGTTCAGCTAAAATAATATAGTAACTGATGATGATATATATGTATGTAAATCACTAAATGTTTATAAATGCGCTGTGTGAAAGGAATATGTGGAACTTTAAAATGATTTTGAAAAAGAAAAAGAGACTGGTCAGGAACTGATTACGAAATGTTGAATTTGAATTCAATAGCCTTCTGGAATATTTTACTGTGTACTGAGTAACAGACTGTACAGTTTTCATTATATTATTGTATTATATTATACAGGCAGTATTTTGGCATGGTGGTGTACTTTTTCCTAGTCCAAGTGGCAAACAATGCAGCCTATATGTTCCGTGTTTCTATACCTCTACAAATGATATTCAGAGCAGTAAGTTATTATATTTATCAAAATAATCAGTTGCATCTGAAGCCTAAGATCTGGATTAGTGAGATTTTTTAACTTCGTTTTACAGAAATTAATGGAAATAAGTTTTTATGGAAAAAGTTTAAAATGTTATGTATTCCACATGTTTTGTGTGTCTATATATTATACCTATAAAAATCTAATTCAGAGCATAATTAAGACATTATGTATTAAACTGGTTACATGCATCTTGGGTATAAATTCTATAATGTATTGGATGAATGAATATGGTGAATTATACCATGTTTTGTAATAATGAGGAAAAAGTAAATTTTGTGGGAAATTGTCAAGTATTAAAGATAAGCATATTTTTCACTGACTTAATTGAACAAGTTGACATGTTTTCCAGGGTTCCATGATCCCCAGTTTGATGCTAGGTGTACTCATCCTGAAAAGAAAGTATGTAAATTAGTTTAGAGATAGGTATAAAGAAGGAAGTAAGAATAAAAAGCTATCATTTATAAAATTATTGAAAAAGATATATTATTTACATAATGGAAGTGTTTTTGATCTATTCAATTGATATTTTTTCATAGGTATTCAAAAGCAAAATATTTGTCTGTTGCCTTGGTTACAGCAGGTATTGCCATTTGTACAATAACCTCAGCTCAACAAGAGGTCAAATATGTACACGAAGATAAGGTAAGCTATTAATAGAACCAGTGTATATTCCAGAAGTAAAATAGTGTGCTGCCAATTGTTAGAAACAATGTCACTGTGGATTACAGATGTTGAAATCACTCACCTAATGTATGATCTTTTGAAAGAATTGAAAGAATCCACAAAGACTAGCCTTAAATTTACTTAGCTTTGCAAAATAGTAATTCCAATTAAGTTAATAAACAAATTTAATATTTTTTTTAACAATGCCACACAGTCATTTATAATAATATAAATTATGTATATAATACTGTTTATAACACACACTTCATGAAAAATATGCCTGCATTCAGGTCTGCGTGATTTACATGTCAATAATTCAGACAACGTAAGAAGGTCTTGTATTTATATTTTACTTTGCCAGCTGTTTAAAGGCAGAAAAATTATTTCATATAGAACTTTCTGACCACCAAATTAGATCCCCACAAATGAATACTGTACCCTCAAACCACTAAAATTTGACAGTACAAAAATGAGCAATTGTACACTATCTGGGATATTTTTGTTTCAATACTGTTCAAAAAGGTCAAATTCATTGGAGACTTATATTGTAGGAGTTATCTAAAGACCCCGAGACAGAGGCTGAAAATGTATTCAAGGATCTGGTGTTGTGGACTTTAGGTAAGAATGTGATTTTGTGGACTTTAGGTAAGAATGTGATTTTGTGGACTTTAGGTAAGAATTTGATTTTGTAGACCTTAGGTAAGAATGTGATTTTGTGGACTTTAGGTAAGAATGTGATTTTGTGGACTTTAGGTAAGAGTTTGATTTTGTGGACTTTAGGTAAGAATTTGATTTTGTGGACTTTAGGTAAGAATTTGATGTTAAGATCATGTGGAGTCTAGGCAAGTATCTGGTGTTGTGGACTCTAGATAAGGATTTAGTATTGTGAACTGTTGTCTTGTGTTGTAGACAGTGGCCCTGTTGATTCATTGTTGAACAGGTCTTGTTGTTAATGCCTTTGTTTTTAGCTCACCTGAGCCAAAGGCTCAAGTGAGCTTTTCTGATCAAAATTTGTCCGTTGTCTGTCATCGTCGTTGTTGTAAACTTTTCACATTTTCATCTTCTTCTCAAGAACCACTGGGCCAATTTCAACCAAACTTGCTACAAAGTATCCTTAGGTAAAGGGGATTCAAGTTTGTTCTAATGAAGGGCCACATCCTTTTCCAAGGGGAGATAATTATGAAATAGAGAAAAATTAAAGGCATTTTAAAAAAATAGATCTGAGAGACATTGTAACCTCTGCAATAACAATGAACTTGGTGATGAGTTTCATTATATATTCAAGTGTCCTTTTTTTAAGAATGAAAGACAGAAATTTATACCTAAAAATATTTACATGAACCCAAACACATTATCTTTTTCTGATTTGATTAATACTTCTGATGTATATGAACTAATAGGTTTAGCTAAGTTTTGTAAAACTGTTCTTAAAACATTTAGTGCCTGAACTTCCTACAATGTAAACTTTATTTTTTTTGGTACATCCATCAGTACTGTCCATATCAAAGATATATTTTTCTCGTTCATAGTGTTAACTGCTCACATGTTTACTTGTTCATTTGTTAAATTCTTGTTGTACTAACATACCCCATGTGGGGGCTTTAGTGAAATAAAAAGTTTCAAAGTTTCAAAATCTTCTCAAGAACCACTGGGCCAGGAAATATGAAACTCGTGTGGAATCATCCTCAGGTAGTGTAGATTCAATTTTGTTCAAATCATGACCCCCGGGGGTAGGGTGGGGCCAAAATGGTCGATCAAAGTTTTCCATCTATTAGGAATATATAGGAAAAATCTTTAAAAATCTTCTTCTCAAGAACCACTGGGCCAGGAAAGATGAAACTCATGTGGAATCTTCCTCAGGTAGTGTAGATTCAAATTTGTTCAAATCATGACCACCAGGGGTAGGGTTGGGCCAATATGGCAGATGAAAGTTTTACATAGGAATATAAATGAAAAATCTTTAAAAATCTTCTTCTGAAGAACCATTGAGACAGGAAAGATGAAACTCATGTGAAATTATCCTCAGGTAGTGTAGATTCAAGTTTGTTCAAATCATGACCCCCGGGGCTAGGATGGGGCCAAAATGGCCGACCAAAATTTTGCATTGGAATATATAGGGAAACCTTTTAAAATCTTCTTTTCAAGTACTTCAAAGCCATGATTAGTAATATTTATATGGAATCATCCTCAGGTAGTGTAGATTCAAGTTCGTTCAAATCATGATCCCCTGGGGGGTTAAAATTCAAGCCCCCTCCCCCTCCCCACCTCAGTAAACTTTCAGTTCTGATCTGATATGTGCTTTTTAGCTCTACTGGTCAGAGACCAGAAGAGTTTATGCGATAGTAATGTGTCCGTCGTCCGTCCGTCTGTCTGTCTGTCCGTCTGTAAACAATTTTCAAAATGCTACTCCTCCTATTATTTGCAGTTTCCGTTCATTTTCTTTGCAGAGGTTGCACATACTGAAATGAAATTTGGTATACAGATACACGTATATCAGATGAATATCTAGGTCAAGTTTTGATTTGGGTACAGTCGCACCACTTTTGACAGAGTTATGCCCCTTGGACTTCGAAAAATTCCAATTATTTGCAGTTTCCGTTCATTTTTTATGTTGCACATACTGATATGAAATTTAGTATACAGATTTATCAGATGAATATCTAGGTGAAGTTCTGTTTTGGGTACGATCGTGCCATTTTTGACAGAGTTATGCCCTTTTGGACTTTGAAAAATTCCAAGGGGGGGAGGATAAGTGTTTTACAAACATCTCTTGTGTTGACAGGTCTGGTGATGTTGACTGTGGCCTTGTTCCTGACGGCAGGAATGGGGATCCTTCAGGAGAAGATTTATGGCCAGTACGGAAAACACCCCAAAGAATCTCTCTTCTATAATGTAAGTACAGAAAACACCCCAAGGAATCTCTCTTCTATAATATAAGTAGAAACCTCCTGAATAATTTAGAACCTTTAATCCTTATTCATTCTTTGGGGTCAACTTTAAAAGTTCTAAAAGACTATCAACAAAGTTATTGAAATTGAAAGTGGATATTGTTGAAAAAAAACTTCTAACCTAACTCACAAGATGAACAAGTTTTCAGAAAAATGTTTTGAATCAATAGCATTATAGGTCCTGCAAAGAACTGCAAATATTTAAACAGTTTATTATTTCTCTGTCTTCATGCACTGTACTAGTTAATTTTTGAAAATTATAACCCATGATTTCTTTTAATGTATATAAATATTTTATAAATTTTTATAAAATGTGAATTGTCAATAGAAAGAGAGCTGGACTCACTAATAAATATTTGGGCTAAATTTTACAGAAATCAGTGTAAAATAATTTTTAATATCCTGAAAGCTGTAGATGGGAATTTAGAGTAAAATTAATGTGCATTGTACTTATCTGTTGAGGATGTACTATCGACATTAGATTTGCCACTATTCATTTGTATGAAAATAATTTAATTCTGGTTGTAACGCTGTATTTGATTGGATAAAAAATTTACTTTATATGGTATAAAATGGGTTGCCTACGTCACAATGACTTGCGTCAAAAACGTATCAATTCGCCCGACGTTACATTCAAATTTTGTACAAATTGAAGTCATTTTGTTAGAACAATCTTCTTTTTCTCTTACATCAAATGAATGAAAATTAAATTATAAGCAATGAATTTAATAGCTACCCATCTTATATGGTAAAAACTGGGTTGGAACAGTTTACGCTTTTTTATAAACCGCTTCGCGGTTTATAAAGAGTAAACTGCCCCAACCCAGTTTATACCGTATAAAATGGGTAGCTATTAAACTCATTCCTTAATAATTTCTGTTAATGTTTAAACTAAACCAGTTGCCTCCCTCTGCTCTGTTGATTTTAAACAGGAAATATTTTTTTTTTTTCAGCACTTTCTTCCTCTACCAGGATTTGTCTTTCTAGCTTCTGATATTTGTCATCATGTGTCACTTTTTAATCAAACAAGTAAGTCAAGAATGGTTCATCATCCAAACTCTTGTGTGTTTTCTCTGTGATACTCTATTCAATGAATGCAGTATAACAGAGAGAAATCCTAAAATTTTACCCAACAACACATAATAAAAAAAGGCTCTTTTAATTTGTTTCATTCTATGTACATGTAAATGAAGATATTTGAATAACCTTTATTTATCAAATATATAAGTGGAAGAAAAATAGGCTACTGTGTCTATTAATCTGTAATCAGTGAGGGAAAGGTCTGATGGACCAGACCAGGATTTAAACCTGGGCCCCCTGAAACACCCCTTGTCAGGTGCTCTTCCGACTTTATTTTTTGACAACAGGCATTCAGATCCATCTGACTGACATAAATTACTCCCCTTTGCTTTTGGCTAAAGAATCAGTTATAGAAAGTTCATATTAAAACGAATTCTGTCATGAAATAATTTAAAGTGTATTCATTGTATTGACTAATATTTTAAATATTTCTGATTCTTTTTTCAGCCCCAGTCAGTTTAGGCCTGGGATTTTCTCTCCCTCAGATGTGGCTCTTTCTTGCAGGCAATATACTTACCCAGTATCCTTTGAAAATTTTCATCAAAATAAACTGCACTTTGAAAAAAAATCCAGTTAATAGCAGAATAAGAAATGCTTGATTTGAAAGACATCATTGATAGTACAGATAAAATTTATGTTCATATTGAACCAGAGCAAAATGTAGAAGCTTTAGTCTTTATTATCAGGCAAGTGTTAATAAAATATAAATTTAGGAACTGTGTGTGTACTCATACAATTGTGCTTTTGCAAATGAATCTGCAAATTACCTTGGAAAAAAAAAAGCAACTCATTCTTTTTTGGAGATTAAGTTAGAGTACCTTTTTTCTTTTGTCATATTGATATGAAAAATACATGTGCAACCAGTGTCATACCAGGGGTACTCAATAATTGGAACTGGTAGTTATTTTAAAAAAAGTCACAAAATGTATGTTACTGTCAGATTCAAGTGAGTCTTGTTTATGAATTCCTTGACGACCAATCAGATACATCTGTATACGGAGTGTGTTTATCTTGACGACGGAGTGTACGGCCTTAACAGTCACCTTAATCGTCACTTTAAGGAAGTTTGTCAGTTTGATTCTCTCCATATTTTACTTCAACAATCCTTTTACTTCCCTTCACTGGATTGGAACCATTTTAACTTTTATTGGGGTCATGTTATTTACGGAAATTGTCCATATACCGGGGCTAATGCCAAAGAAGAAGACCGAATAAGTATTAGTATTGGTATTTAAAATTAATGTGTCATTGAATGTATTTATGAGTGGAAAAATTGGTTTATTCTATCTAGTTGTTTTGAATTAGATTTATTTCACTTGGGTATGATTTATGGGTTTGTATTAATGAATGTATTAGGAATTCAAAAGCTTGTCAAATTTTTTTTTTTATTATTTATTTCAACTGAAGTACAATACATTATACAAAAATGAATGTACATAGAAATGGAAAGCTTTAATGATTTTGTCCCTTTGTTTTAATTTCTTTTCACCTTGTGTAGCATTAGGTATACATGAATTAATGTACATGTGTTTAGAGAGGTAAAGCTTATATGATTTGTCCAATTTTAATAATTTTTATAGCTAGCCTAGATCTATATGTGGGTATTATTTACAGTTTGCTTTATCACAAGTAATTCCTGAGGCTCCTTTAAAAAGTTAATTGCACTATGACGTAAAATTTACATAAATCCAGTATTATTGGTCAGTCTTGCACTACACTGATAAGAATTACATTGTAAATTTCTTGAGCCAACCTAAGAGATCAGATAAGCTTTTGTTTTTGTTAAACTGACTAGAAGTAGTTTTGCATCAATATTATATGAGATTAGAATATCCTCATACACTACTTGACTGATTAGGGTTAGTCTCACACCACCCTGGGAATTTGGGTTAGGTAAGAGTTGGCATATTTTATTAGGGGTAAAATATTTAAAATTAAGGCTTAAATCTAGTTTAATCAATTATAGGCTTAAATACTGTCCAGATTCATGGACTTCTACAAGAATGTAGAGCAGCAAATGTTTACATAAAATGGGGTAATTATTAAGTGTTCAAGAGCATCAAGCACGTGTTGCGGGCTTTTGTCTGACAATCATTTATATCAATTTTTAACGAAAAAACATTTTTAGAAAAGGAGGTTAAATCTTTTTTTATCATAGATTTTGATTCAGGGTCAGTGTTTTTAAAATTAATTTTTCATTTTTATTGATTACTCATGCAATATTATAACTTTATATTCTGGAGTCCCTTTTGGCCCCACTATATGTTAGCATGTTTTTTTCAGGGTATTGATAAGTCATTCACAATTCACTCAGTAAATAATTTAATGACAAGAAATTGCACTTTTTTTCAAAGCTTAGTGTGTTTACTGGCATAATATCGTAGAACTTTTCATCTTTAAAAAATAAATTGTAAGAAAAAAACCTTGATTAAAGTAAGGAGACAATTGAACTTTGTTATCGCTAATCTTGGATATCTGGAATACCATGATAAGGCAAAGTGAGTTGAAAGTCCTGATTTCTCATTTACATGCAGATATATATTTTAATCTCAATATCTCAAGTCTACTGTATCTCAAACTTTTCATTCTATCCATTGGGTTCCAGATGTCAAGGTTGGACTATATTAACAGATCTATGTATGTTTTGTGTATTATTTTCTTCTAGTCTTGTGTATCCTTTTCTACAAGTCTCTATCTAAAACCCCTTAATGAATTTTTTGAAGAAAAAAAAATGACACAAAAATTTTAAAATGTTTTCTTTGTCTTTTTATAAAGGATGTAACATACAATTATTTTTATCATAGTCCCATTGTTTTGTTTGGAGAAATCTATGGGTTGATTAAAACACATGAAAACTCATATGAATGACAAATGGGTGTTTAAACAAGAATTTCCTTTTCTTGTACGTGTTTTTTCTTGTAATCTTACATTCACCATATACCCCCAATAAACTAAATAGTACGTACTTTGAATTATTTATATTTTGAATATGTTCAAATTGAAAACATAATAAAAGTCTTTTATAATACGTATACATAAGTTTCAATATTTTTTTTTTTTTTTTTTTGTATTTTATTTATTTATTTTCAATTCTTCATATAAACAAACAGTGAAATATATATATAACAGACAAATTACATTACAAACAATATGACAATATTACCTTCAGACAATTTTATGCAAAATTTTTAAAAAGTTTGTAGTCAAGTGATTTCAAATCTTTTAGAATGGAAGCATAGAAAAAAATTGAAGATTTAACGTGATTAAAGATGTTATAACTAGTTTCATCTAAGGAATGTATTCGACAGTACATCTTATATTTGTAAATCCTACAGGCAACATATGAGATGAGTGTGTTGAGTGATACAATTTTTCTATTGCGCTCAGAGCTAAATCCAATTATTACATGTTTCCATTTGATATCTATCTTCAGGTACAAACTTAATCTATTCCATATTTCACCAACATTTTTACATTTTTACATTCAAAAATGAGATGTTTTGAAGTTTCGTTCAAGTGGCATAATTTGCAATAACTACTCGTTTCTTTTTTCCATTTACTGAGATAGAAAATATTACAAAGAATATTGTTTAAAAGTTTATAGTTGAATTCTGTAAGTTGTTTATCGGGTATGTCATATAATTTACATTGATATATATTTTTCCATTCTGAAGGTTCGACACTGAATTCGTTGCTTAAAACTATTTGATAACATGGTTTACAAAATTTTCAAAGTTTCAATATTTATTATTTTTTTATACAAGCTTCAAGACACTGACACAATTGACTTGTTACTGAAAGACAACATTTGACGCGAGTCATTGTAAAATCACATATTTTCATGGGGGCCAATTTTTTTTGATTTGAGAAAAGACAATGTTTTTGTGGGACAAATAATATCTGTGAAAAATTACACTTCATGATGTACATAATTTCCTGATTCCCTTCATGCCACGGAAACCTCGAAATATTAGTGATTTCACAGTACAGTAAAGTTTGGTTATAACGAAGTCATTGGGACCAATGAAATAATTTCGCTGTATCCGTGATTCATACCCCATGAATAAAATTACAGGCTTTCAAACATCATTGGATATTTCACTTAAAAAAAACTAATGGTACCTTAACAACAAAACATTGGGATAAAAGTGATGACTTCGATTAATTTTATATATCTTCAATGTAAAAATTTTAATTAATACTCACGTACCAATATATCCTTATCACCCACAGAAGGTGCTTAAAGAGATATCTCTCAAGCTAAAAGAGATATATCTTTATTGTAGAGAATTAAATTCATTTATGAAATATTGAAGAGAGATATCTCTCTACTATAAAGATTAGGGATGTCAACGAATATTCGAATATTCATTCGATGAGTTGATATTCGAATATAGATTTATGATTCGAATATTTGTTTTAAAGTGTAAAAGCATTAAAAAGATAGAAAAACCTGGCAAATTCAATTAGAAATTGAATCAAGTTTGTATAAAATAAAAAGACACTGACCTCTTGGATTATCTTAAAGGTGTGAAGAGTGTATCTATTAGAGTAATTTATTCATTTTTTCACTTAATTAGTGGTATAAAGGTGTCAAGTACTTACAATCAGCTTGTATTGTTGTTTATATAAATATCATTAAATATCATTATCATGAAATTAATTGGCCAATATTAATTGTTTTTTTTAATATTTCTCTCTTAAATAATTGCTCTGCTTGGTATATTTGAAGGAGTTATCAGTGTATACTTCAGTGAGACGATCAATTAATCTGAAACATACTAAAGAAACTTTTATATTTTCAAAAGAAAAACTTTCATTTTGGATTTATACTCTTCATATATTTGATAATTAGAAAAAAAATAATTGAGGTGCATTTATCAAGCTGTATATGGGTTCTTATTTTAAAATAATGGCATAAAACCTATACTGCTTGACAGGAGAGTAAAGATATACATGTATATTTTATAACGCAAGATGTATATATTGTATCGAATATTCGAATATACAGTAAAACTTGTTTAGTACGAACACGGCTATTGCGAATTCACGGATATAGCGAAGTCATTTTGTTTCCCCAGCTTTATAAATTTAATAAATTTCTTATATGGATATAACGAACTACAGATATAGCGAAGTAATTTCAAAGGTCCCAGCGACTTCGTTATAACCGAGTTTCGCTGTATTCGAATACTTCTATCGAATATTCAAATATCAATTTCTGACAATTTTGACATCCCTTATAAAGATATATCTCTTTTAGCTTGAGAGATATCTCTTTTTGACACTTTTGAAAGATATCTCTTTCACTATAAGAGATCATTCTTAAGATATCCAATAGAGATATCTCTTTAAAATGGAATTATATCTCCCAAAGTAAAAGAGACATCTTTCTGGGTGAAAGAACTATATCTTTTAATGTCCAGAGATATCTCTTTTCACGAAAGAGATATCTCTGAAGGAGAAAAAGACATCTGTTGAAGTGGAAGTGATATCTCTTAGAAAAAATACATATTTCGCTAAGTAAGAGATATTTCCCTCAGTTTGAGAGATATTTTTTTCGAAAAGAGATATCTCTTTAAAATGAGAGATATCTTTAAGTCGGAAGATATCTTTACTCTTTAAGAGATGTCTCTCTAAAACGAAAGATATCGCTGTAATTTTAGAATAAATTTTATTTCTGAATAAATAGCAAAAGAGCTTGCCATCAATATAGGTTTCTTAGTTCTTCAACAGGCTTGGTAACTTGCATATTCAAGAAAAATTCTACAGTGGCCTGCTGACGTCATCTTCATTAGACGACGCTTCTGTTCAATGAATTTAAAGTGATGAATTCAATCATTACGTTTTCAAAATACTACATGCAACAAAAATACAGCATTTGAAGCACTAAACGCAAACATAGAAAACACAGCAAACACAACGTCACTACTTTTACCGACATCTGTCCACGTGACCTCAGTCTGGAGGTGATCGTTATCTGATACAAAATCTGTTATACCGATCCCACTTCTCATAACGTAATTATCAAAGCTTTCATTGAGAGTGTCGTTGACTTTACTTCTACGACAGGTTCTGCACAATACAAATCTTGTTACAGCTGCAAGACACGGGGGCACTTTGCGAGAATCTGGCATGTGATAGAAATATAACGTCATTATTGTGAACGTCATTACTAAAGCACTCAAAATTAGGTCGGCCAATAGCTTGATGCAGAGCAAAGAAAGATTGGGCTTAGAAACGTTTGGAAGATGGTCAAATGCAATGGTTTGAAAGACTGCAATGGCGAGTAACACGGTAATGGAGTAGCCGACCCTTTCTCCGGACTGAGCAGGAAGAAGAAAGACAAGAATGTTGAGCAAACCAACAAGCATAATAGGAAGAATCATATTGATCATTTGAAATGTGGGGACTCTCTTCAGAAACAAAGTTATCTCTATGAACGCTAGTTTTTGCTTCCTATCGACGCCCGACAGAACCGACGTATCTATCAGGTCCCACATTCCATGAGGAGAATACACGTACAGATTAACTCTATCAGATAAAGCAATAGCCGTGACTTCATTTATATCATAGTCCCAAATGACAAAGGATATCGAGCAAGACTGTGTGTCATAGGGGTATTTGTAAATATCTGGGGTACATGATGACGACCAAATGTCTCCAGGATACCATTCTGCGCGACCTTCGAAGTTATATCTTATAAAGAAACCGTTTTTGTCTCCAAGTCTTTTAAACTCATTATGAGGTGAAGCTAAAACAACCAAAGGTCTCCATACTTCCTTTTCCTTAAAAAGAATTTTGTAAGTGTTATTGTATGCTGCTGGTTCCCATTTCATCCTAGTATCATTCCAGAATACGTTAAAATATCCCACCACTGATAGTTTTCCATTCACTTCGTCAAATTCCGTAATACGAATCAGATTAAACGAAAAATACAGAGGCGTTAGCTCACTCATATCTTGCACTCCTCGAATCATTTTGTTGTAGTTTTTCATAATGTCCACTGATAAACGATTGGAGGCTGCATTGGGTTGACCAACACCAAAATAAATGAAACAGAATAGACATAGTATTATTGGTGTTCGGATCACAAGAACCTGATGGTCCGCCATTTCATAGACTAAATTCAATTTCCAAAAAGACACATTTGTCCAATGCCCATGTCTTTTCACTTAAAGGAAAGCGTTTGAAATACCCTATATACAAAGGAGTTTAAGTAGATCTCAGCTAGCGACTCTTCCTCTAGACTAATTAATGTGCCTCTAAAAGCAAAAATAAAAACAAAACACACTATACCGTAAAATCATTACTGGACTACTTTGTCGTGGAAAACATAAATCAGTTTCAGTACCTGACAGCAAACCCATTGACATTTAAGTGCAATATACGGAAGCGAAGGTGTTTCCAATGAACAAAAATATGTGATTGGAGTAGAGAATTAAACCATGCTGATGTAGCTGCAAAAGTTGCACAAAATAACGGCATCAGTAACGATTTATGGATTCATGGATTTTTATCTCACCGTTTATATTCAATTTTTTAATTGAACTCTTTTGCAAAACATAGTCATCGTATCAAGTATCTCCGATAATGGATTATGATGTAAACCAATTAGTGCACATTATTGACTTTTTAAATTTCAGGTTGAAAAAGCCCAGTTAACTTTACTTACTATTATACATGTATTTGTTCTTCACATAATTGTGAATTGGTTTGCATTTTATGAAGCAATGACATCTAGAAATAATTAAAAATATATCTTCAGATAGCTCACTTTATATATATGTTATAATGCGCGTCATTGGCGTAAAAACCTAATCAAAACAAATTTTGTCAATATGTCCCTTATATTTATTTGTATTTATAAAATTTATGACGTCACGTAGGGAAAATAAAAAGCCCAATTAAAACACGTGCAATTTGATAACGACAAGTTTGTCAACAAATCTTGTTGCATTATTTGATGCATATGAGGTATGCACATCGTTTTTCAATTTAGAGACATTATGAATTTATTGCAATCTTGGTCACAGTTTACGGAAGTTCAATGGGGTCTTGTTTTCGAATTGCCTAATTAATGAAAAAGGCAACAACGGTTTACAGTTGTTGCTGTAATTTTCTGCATAAAACATTTTACCCGTTGTCAGAGAGGGTCAAGTGGTTTTATCAACCGTGACGATGACGATAACGCGAAACAGAGCCATGTTCCTGAGCGGATTATTCGTCCTGCCATCTCTTTTCGCCACCTTGTCACAAAAAAACAGCCATTTATCGATTATAATCATTACATTCATAGAAATTTGAAGAAAACAATGTCCGCAATTTGGTTTTTTGAGCCAGTCAACTTACTGTTTATTCCTCTCACTGGCGCATGCGCGCGCAGTTTGACTTATTTTTTTGTGTATATACCCATGCTAAATATAGTCAGGGTTTGAAAGATAAACACTCTGATGAAATACCATGCAAAGGAGAAATAAGACTATGACAGATGCACGAGATAGACATTGAAGATAATGAATGTTTTCGATTTTCACTTTTGGGGGGTATTGGAGCTTCAATAACTCATGAATAATTAGACAAAATCATATGTGTTTGGTGATATCTTTTTGAAAGGTGATTTTAAAGTGCGATAGGAATACTGAAAGAAATTAAGGAAAAATAATTTTAATTCACCACAAAAGTTTACCCTGCGTTTCTTTTTCCTTTCAGTATATGTTATAATGCGCGTCATTGGCGTAAAAACCTAATCAAAACAAATTTTGTCAAAATGTCCCTTATATTTATTTGTATTTATTTGCATGGAGTGTCCGCAGTAAATTTTAGATTCACTTCATGTACTGTACAACTTTGACTTTTCCTGAATCCGTCTCCCCTACCCAAAATCTCCCTTTAGTGTCCATACTCAGTCCCCAACGGTTCTTTAGTCCTAAATCGTTCGTACATCTCATGAACTCTCCATCATAAAGTATGTGTATACAGTCATTGCTGTAATCTGCCACAGTGATATGAATCATGGAGTCGGTCACTCTATATCAAGGGTCAAATGCCTTCTTCTTCCTGTCTGATGTACCGTCGTGTCGGAATCTAACTTTTCCCGCCTTGTCCAAAACAACCATCGCCTTAGCATTACGATCAGAGAAGCAAATGTCTTCATTGTTGTTCTCTGCCAAATACAGCATGTATTTTTCTTTTTTGAAGATTTCTTTCTTATCATTATCTGTATATATTTCCTGCTTCGCTGTTTGTCTCTGATATCGGATGATTTTGTTTCTGCCTCAGATTGACCAATATGTGTACTGATCTGGTACAACACAGCCCTTTCGTTTGCCAGTCCTTTTGTGTGGTGATAATTATTACTGGCGCCTGATAGCTGAGGATTTTAATAGTTCCATGGGAACCATCACTATAATTATATTAGGTCTACAGGTTCAGTCACTCTGATATCACCAGGCCAACATGCACAATCGGTAGGAACAGTACCATGTGCAGAACCGTGTGTGTCAACCATCTTAAAGTATCGTATTCTCTGCCAACGTATGCTTTATCTTCTGCTTTACAAGCAACTCTCCATAAGGGTTGAAATCCTGTATGGATGGTTGGAAAAATTAAATTTTTGCTTGTCCACGAACTTAATGTAAAACTCTCGTATGTATGATGATAATGTTTTGAATATGACAAAAGTTGCAGCAAACATACAGACTAAAAGCATAATTATATGCATTTACTTATATTGTATCATGTCTTTAACTTTAAACTAAAAAAGAATTGTTTTTAATAAGAAGTGACAATTAATTTTATCAAATTCAAAAGAAAAACCAGCAGATGATAAAATGATTACAATGCATATGTAGTATTTTATCCTTATCATACATGTAATAATGTAAGATCCTTTCATAAAAAAAAATCAAATTGCACTGAAAATATCTTTGAAATATATTATGTTTATGTAATCTGCATATTTTGCATCTCGTTTTAATTTCGGCAATGAAATTTTTGCTAACAAAATGAAATATTTTAAATTTATTTCCATAATAGACCCATTATGACCTCATTTTACAAGCATGTATATACACCTCTATTCAATGTAACTAATTTTCTTAACCTTTCCTCCCAATTCAGCAACAAGCAAATAATTCTTATTCAAACATAATCCATGTGGATACTTCAGATCACAGTTATCTATATAACGGAGGAACCCTCCATCCTGGTCTAGGATGTGGATACAGTTGTTATACAAGTCTGCTGTCAGGATCTGACTCTGACTGTCTGTTGTGGTGCCAAAGGGTTTATATGGATTCTGGAGATGACCACTGTATCTAAATTGGAGTTTTCCAGCTTGGTTGAAAACTACAACAGCACCAGTTCCTAGGTCAGCCACACAGATATCCAGGTTTCTGTTCTCACTGATGTACTTAATTATGTTATTTCCTGAATACAGAGCTTTACCCTCCTTATCAAACTGAATTATTTGTTTCTCCGTGTTGCCTGAATAACGGCCAACTTTAGATCGTGTTTCATCATCACTGAACATAGTAGCCAGTAGATCACCAGAGGAGGTGACACAGAGATGCGAAGGTGTCCAGCCCTGTACTCTGATCATTTTTTTTTCGTCTGACCATTTGTAACCTTATAAACAGTACTAGTCCCTTTCTTCCCTTCAGAGTATACTAGATCTCCATCACCTGTCACTGCTATATCATTTGGAATTGTCCCTGATTTTGTTCCGATTGTCTTAAAAAGTGAGCCTTGAATGTTAAAACATTTCATATCACTGACCACCCCACTTGTCCAGATTTCTTCTTCACTGAGACAGGTAACACTACGGAGTTTTTCATATCCAGTTTCTATGGTAGTGATAAGTTCTGGTTCTTCCAGTAGTTCTCTGTTTGATAGTTCTGGTTTCTTCAGTTTGTAGCCATTTTCTTCTGATGTAGTAGATAATGGTGTAAGAGATCCAAACAACTTGTAGAGCTGTTCTCTATCTACTGGTTTAGTATTAAACATCGGTAAAGATACTTTCACTTTTGGAGGAAGTTTCCTGTACTCTTTGTTTCTGGAGCTGTATTGCATGGTCATAGACACTTCATTTGATTCTTCTATTTCCTTCAGGTTGAGCAGAGTTTGTTCAATAAGAGTCTGTATTTGTTTAACTTCCTCTGCATGTTTCTTCAAAATGTCAAAGTGCTTTACTTTAAAATCATCAATCACCAATTTCTTTTTTCATAGCATTGATGACATTGTCAATTTCTGTGTGCCATTGATTTCCCTGTTCTGTCAAAGCTGTTGTAAGTTTCTCATATTCTCCACCCAAGTTAGTCATCTGTGTTTCAATGCTAGATGCTACCAAAAGTAGGATTTGAGATTTCTTTGTTTGTAGGATAAATAATGTTTTGTTTTCAATTCCTCTGTATCTTTTGCTGATATCATGCTGTTTTTTTTTCTTGCTGAGTCGTACTACTTATGCTGATCATGATGCTGGTTTATGTAACAAAATTAGTTCCCTGCACTGTATGTGGGAAAAATAATGTTTTGTGTATCTTTCATGCTGTTCCGATGCTAAGAAATTGTGTCCTTTATGCTGTTCTGATGCCGAACATAAGGAACAAACAGGAAAGTTACATTCCTTGCATTGTAAATCACATAATTTGGTTGGATGTGATGCACACTTTGAATAAATCAAGGTTGATTTTCTTTGTTTGAATGGGACAATCTTATATTTGTCATATTCATTAGCAATATGTTCTCCAATACAGAGTTTACAGAGTTTGACATGACAAAAATCACAGTACATATGTACTAATGCTGTCTCACAAAGGTCACATCTGATCACATCCTGGGCACTGAGGCGGGGATCCATAGTTTCTGTACAAGTTCTATAAATAAAGAATTGTTTTGTCATTAAAATTTCTTTTGAACTTTTAAATATTAATTATTATTTGTGCTGCTCAATGAATATTACTTTTTTGTTGTAGGCCTAAATAACTAGATCTATGATAAAGTTACATATTAAAACGTAATATACATGTTATATGTTACTTAAAAACAAATTGTTTATGTTGGGATTTATTTTAAACAACTTTGTTACATATCTACAGATTAAACTTATTCGAGTTTCAATTTAGGCTTAATTGAGAATGACCTTTTGAAAAATTAATCATCATGAAAATAAATAAATTGAGAGTAGATTTGCAAGAACAGTTT